AAGCGGAACCGCATCTGCGGTGGTATGGTCGCAGAAGCGAAAAGGGGGCTAAGCCAGGGAAGCCGCAGAAGCGGCCTACTGTCCGCAAAAGCGGAGCCGCATAAGCGGCTATAATTCCGCAAAAGCGGAAATGTCTGGAGGCAGAAGCTTGTTTTAAATCGCGATTGGGAGTTCATTTCTCTCATTTTTCATGGCTTGGGGCGATTGTTGGGGAGCTTCAAAGAGGGATTTTCGTCAACAATGTTAAGGTAAGTTATTTCTACCTATTATGAGTTAAATGCGTTAATTATGTATGGATTTTAGTATGAAAATGGGCAGAAATTTGAGGGTTAGAGGAAGACCTAGAAATATTGTGTTCTTGGAATTTAGCCACGATTTTTGGGTATGGAATTAAGAGAAAATTATATATTTGAGTTCCTAAGGTCATGGGTAAACCTTATCTTCGAAAAATTTTGGATTCCGGGCACGTGGGCCCGAGGGCGTTTTGGTCAACTTTTTGATCGGTGTTAGGAATTGTTATAAATTGGATTGTAATGAGTACCTTAGCATATATTAATGGATTTGTATCGCCATTGGCTAGTTTTGAAGCTTTGGGCGTCGGTTCGAGCCTTCGGAAGAATGTAGAATGCCGGTTTTGAGTTTTCGGAGCGAGGTGAGTCTCTTTTCTAATCTTGTGAGGGGGAATTTACCCCATAGGTGAAGTAATTGATTATGTGCTCCTATTTGTGGGGGCTACGTACGTACGAGGTGACGAGAGTCCGTGCGTAGCTACTATTATACTATTGTTCGGGTAGTTAGGGCCCAAAAGCATGTTGTACGTGGATTAATTGTGAATCCCATGGATAGCCTGAATTGTTTAAAAATCACATTGAATTAGTAAGTAGATTTCTAAAAGGATTAAACTTCATTTCTTAAATTGTTAAAGGGGAATTGGTTTTATTTGAATAAATATTCCCCGATAAGTTCTTATTTCATTGAATTAGCATGTATTTTATGTGTGCCTGCATCGCATGGATGATTCGCGAGCAGGATATGTGTTTATTTATGGAACGGGCCGAACGCCTCGGTGAGAATAGATGCATCTATGGTTCGTGCCGCTCGACCCTCGGCAGTGCACAAATTTATATTCCTGTTGGAGCGGGCCGTCGACCTCGGCATGATTTGCGCATGTCTATCTGTTACTTGAAAAATTTTAAATGTGGAATCGGCCCTACGTGGCTTGATATAAACTAATAAGACAATAAAGAACAGACTTTAGAAGCCCTTGATTTATTGTTGAAGGTGTTTACCTGTTTTTCTGGCTTCACAATAAGAACTTTTATATAAATCCATGATTATTCTCGCACTTATAGAATATTGCTAATTGACCTCTAGTGAGTGTCGGAGTTGGCCATCTCGTCTCTACCCCTTCGGGATTAGGCGGGATACTCACTTAGTACACGTTGATTACGTACTCATACAACACTTCTGTGCATTTTTGTTGCACAGGTATACACACTTCTAGTAGCCTGCTGAGCGTAGCAGCATGGATAACTCTGGGACTAGGTGAGCTGCATTGTTCGGGACGACCCGCAGCCAGTGTAGTTCCTTTCAGCATTTTATTATTTATTCCCTGTCCACTGTATTTCGGACAGATGTTGTATTTTACTTTCCTTATCGGTAGTTGCTCATGTACTTGTGACACCGGGTTTCTGGGATGGGTTTCAATGGATTTGTACTAATTGTTACTATTTAAATTTGAATTCAAGTAGTGAACTTTTATTTATGAAAATGGAAGGAAAAACCTTAGATTTTCAAAGGTATTAAAAGAGGAATTAATTGATAATCTAGTTGGCTGGCCTGACAGAGGTGTCCGGCGCCACCACGACCCTTAGTGGATTTTGGGTCGTGACAAAAGAAACCAATTTCAATTCTTCTACAAATTGGCCATATATAACCTTTTTTACACCTAATTTTTTATCACACACCCTGCAATTGACACTATTATTATTGGAACTATTATTAGTTTCAGATATTCCTAACTAGAAGAATTATGGTTAGAGTATCTATTTTACAAATCACAGTTAGAAATAACCCATTATTTAGTTTTCAGAATTCTTGTGCATTGGGTTAAGGAAAATTGAGTGACTAAAATTTCAGGTCAAGAGTGAATCAATTTATCTATCTATAATATTAAGTCAAGTGACAAGTTAAAATGAAGTCACTTGGCAATTTTAAGACAACATAAAGAATTTGAATTATTTTTAAAACTAGATTTTGTTTGCATGCTATTTCTACTCTCCACATTGCGAACACGTGTTTGCATTTGTAGTGAGTGCTTATTTAGTCTTTATTCTTTTTATTATCTTTATTTATAATTTATAATAAAGTAAAAGAATAATAATAAATATATTGACCTGACTTTTTAAAAAAGATTTGACAAAGAAGAAAAGAAATAGCATTAATAAATGAACCAAAGGAAAAAGGAATACACTTAAAGTTGCTGGAGAGTAATGCTTCAAAAGTATCATCCGCGCATCGCGCGGGTTTTAATACTAGTTATGATTAATAGCAATAATTATGTAAGGATGATATTTTGTCGCACTTCGCTGGCTTAAATACGTGGGTATAATATGATTATATGAAGTGCCAAAACTTTAATACTAATGTACGACATAGTATAATTAACACAGACTCTGTTTTTTTTTTTTTTTTTT